TCGCCCCATGGCGGTCTCAGGGTGTTTACAGACGCCCGCGACCCGCCGAGACCGGAGACGCGGCGCTCGGCGGCCGCCGTGCCCGCGCGGGATTCTGGGAATGGTAGTCGGCTCTCCCGCAGTCCGAACGCGGCCGACTGGGGAAAGAACTACAAGTCCCAGAGAGCCTCGGCCGGGGCGACTGTTGTTCGGCGGCCCGCAGGCGCCCGGGGGCGGGGCCGGGTGCCAGGGGAACTACGGCTCCCACAATGCACTGTGCCCGGCGTCTGGGCCCCCCCCCCCTAGCGCGCCTGCGCTCTGGAGGCCCGGAGGCTGAGGATCCCAGTTCGAAGCCAGCCTGGGCAGAAACGTGCGTTACCTCCAACTGACCAGCAAAAAGCCAGAAGTGGAGCTGTAGCTCCAGTGGTAGAGCACCAGCCTTGAGCTGAAGAGCAGAGGGACAGTGCTCAGGCCCTGAATTCAAGCCCCAGGACCGACAAAAAACAAAAAAACAGTATTCCTACAAACAAACAAAAGTTGGGAATGACTTAGAAGAAGGTGGTCCCTGGATGGACAGCTGTCCATCTCTATCCCTGATCCCACTTTTGCTACCTGCAAGGCCCACCGAGCCTCCACCATGCAGCTTCCCCCATTCCCTGCTCCTGCGACTCCACACAGAGGCACTCTTGCCCTGCCGGAACATTCTCCCACTGTACTGTTTCTCCTGGTGACAGCCTGGCTGCGTGGCACACACCGGTCCCACCTGTTCTTCCAGCTCTCTGTGCCCCCTCACCCCCCTCTCTCCTCTTACTAAAATAGCTTTGTTAGGAACCAACTGTCCATGGCTCATGCGAGTCATCCCAGCTGGGAGGCTGAGATCTGAGGATCAGGACTTGAAGTGGCCTGGACAGGAAAGTCTGTTTGGTGGGGGTAAATCCCTAGACAAAAAACCTCAAGTGGTAGAGCACCTGACTTGAGTGAAAAAACTCAGGGACAGCACTCAAGCCCCAAGTTCAAGCCTCAGGATACACACACACACACACACACACACACACACACACACACAACTTACACTCCCCACAGAAACCACAGAAGGGCGGTCAGTATTCTGCACCCCAGAATGCCAGGGCCGTGGTGAACAACAGAGCCTTCTTGCTGCTGTTAAGGAGAGCAAAATGGACTCCATCTTCAATGCATTAAGAGCTCCCCCACCCCTGAGAATTAAAATACTGCTCTCTCACAAGCATCTCAAGATCAGGAAATACGCCGTCTCTGTTGAGATTCTGGGAAAGGTCGAGACTGTTTGGACAGTCCCTCTGCTTGCTGTGATAAGATTATGTAATCTGCTTGACCACCAGCATGGTGAAATGTCAAAGGTTAACAATAGTAAAGCAGCCCGGCCACCTTTGCCCTTCCAGGATGGAGCAGCCTTATTCCCACCCCCACAGGGAAGAATATCCCCCTGCTTTGTGTGGGGACCCATCACATTTGAGTGCCAGTTCAAACCAAGATGAGAGGTTAGTTCAAACAGTGACGATGAGGCAGACTGTGACTCCATGGGCCACCTGTGTGTGGCCTGGCTGGACCACATGGTTTGCCCTTAAAAACCCCTAGCTTGAGGACTGCTGGGGGGACAGGGGGGAGCAGTCTGAGCTCCTGAGTCTGTGCTGCATCCCTGGCTGATCAGCTATCCACTTCCCCAATAAATGCATTTTTTTTTTTGCATGAGACTGTCTCTGTGTGGGATGTGAAATCCTCTCCCACAGACCCTGGTGCACTGGCTAAGAAAGAGACCTTAACCACCTTTTTGGGGAAGATGCCCCAGGTGAAGAAAAGAGACCTCTGGAGGTGAGTACAACTCTGTGGACCGCGGTGTACTGTGTTGAGAAAGTGCACTGTGGGCCTAAGACAGAGAGGCTGGACACAGTGAAGCTCTCTAAGGCTGGGTGGCCAAGGGTCGCCTTGACACCCTTGTGAATGTCCTTATTGAGAGTGATGTGAAATTCCCTCCCGGGGACCAAGGTGATATTGCCTTTATCAGAAGAACAGACATTTTGCCTCCCTGATAGCAGTTGTCATCAGGAGAGGATTGGCCGATAATGAAAATGGTCTAAAAAAGAGAGATTTTTTACCTTGTTCCTCGTTCTGTGTACTGTCGTGTCTGTCCATGTCTGTGCTTGCTTCTGCTCTTGTTTGCTGTTGTTGTGACTGGATTTACTTCACAGGAAGACATGGGACAAGCAGTGCCCACTGAGGTACTTCCCCTAGATCTAGTCCTGCAACGATTTAAGGATTTTAAAAAGAAAGCTAATGATAGATTATTAGACTTTGCCAGAGAACCATGCAGACATCCAGGTACAGAGAACAAAGGAAGGTTTCTTGCTGGGAAAGGAGACTGGCAAGACCCCTTCTCACAAGAGAGAAGGGAGAAGCAACACTGGCTATTGTTTGGAGTGACCAATATAACCTAGGAGGTTTAGGAGGGGCTAGAAGGGGCTAGGAGGCAGAGACTCTGGT